GCGGGCCCGGGCCTGCGGCCTCCCCCGCTCGGGCCCAGCCGGCCCTGTGCCGCAGGGCACGCGGACGCTCCTTACCGCTTGGTTCGTGGTGCTGCCAATGGCGAGGGACGAGGAGTTGCTGCTGGGTTTTGCCATCTCCAGGCCGGCATTGAAGTCGTAGTAAAGCACCAGCTTCCCGTCCCGAATGGCCAGACACAGGAACTGTCCCTGGGGGAGGCAGGACAGATGCTCAGTCCCCCCAGTCCCATGGGCTGCCACCAAGCCCAGCCCACCTTTTAGCACCAGCAGGAGCAGGTCCCACTGCCAGTGCCTCAACCTGACTTGCAGAGACACTGACTGGGGATTTCTCTGGAAATGGCAGCCCTGTGGCCAGGCATGAAGAAGGCATCGTGGGCTGGAAATGCCCCTTGCAGCACTGCCCATCCTCACGAAGCCTGGCCTGGCCTGCCCTGCAGGGTGTATAGAGGTGCCTGGATGCCCTTGGAGTTAAAGGGAGTCTCTCCAGCACCGGACAAGGGACTGCCTTTGCTGTGAGGTCTGGCTCCAGCCTGCTTGTGGCTTTTAAAAATAGTGCAAAAATGTTGCTCCAAGCAGCGCTCTGCCATTTCCAGAGCCCCCTTCCCCTCCAGTCCCTTGAACTGGGAACACCTGCAAGTGGGGATGGGATGCTTCCTGCCTGCCTGCTAAATGGAAAGTCTCGATCCAGCCCCTCGGGAGAGCTGGGCCAGGCGAGGGACAAAGGCTCGCTGGCTGCCCGGAGGCCCCGCGTGGAGCCAGGGGTGCTGGCACCTGCCTCGTTCTCCAGGAAGAAGAGGATGCCGTTATAGGAGACCACTCGGATCTCCTGCTCAAAGCGCTTGGTCGTGCCAAACTGGCTCTCAAACTTGATCTCTGCGTAACCGGTGCCATCAAAGTAGGAGCCGTCTGTCAGCCAGGGGTCTCCTGTGGACTTGGACCTGGGCCATGGGAGAAGAGGGGATGAAGCACCACTGCAAAGCCAAGCGTGTACTGCTCTGGGGCAGCCAAGGATCAGCATAACCCCCAGCTCTGGGGACAGGAGCTGCCCCAGGCCTGGGAAGGGTGTCCTACCTTGCGCAGGGCTTCTCTGTGGTGGTATCCAAGTGGAAGGTGCGCTGGAAGTTGTACAGACTCACCACCTCCTCGTTCAGTGTGTCCAGCTCCAGGCACCCACGGTAGTTGGGGTAGCGCAAAATGGGAGGGGGCTAGGAACAAAATGGGCCATTTGGGGCAAGTTTGATCCTGGCTTCCCCATGAAACAAGGCCTCTTCCCCCAAAACCTCTGAAGGTATTGCTGAAGTCTCCAAAAAAAAAAAAAAAAAAAGTCTCCCTCCCTGCTCTCAGTCCCCATCTCACCGTGAAGCTGGAGGGGTAGCCACCCACGTAGAAAACCACATTGCGCGGGTCCAGGTTGAGCAGCCCCTGCTCCCCCTTGGCGACGCTGTCTCCCTTGGTCTCGTGTACCGTCTGCCTCTCCACGATCACCGACATGTGTCCGTACTGCAGGATCCTGCAGCAGAGAGGGATGGTCAAGACGAGTGGAGACCCCCAAAGGGAGGGACCAACCCTGCTCTCCCCAAGCATAAGAGCCTCCTTGCAGAGCCCCGCAGAAAAAGGGCCACATCCCCCACGGGGGAGCCCCATAGCAGCAGGGCACCGAAAGGAGCCAGGCTTAATGTTATCAGCAGTGCCCCAAGGCTCCAGCCCCTCTGTGATCTGATGACACACCATCTCCTGCTGGTTTTTGGAGGTATCTCAGTGCTGATTACTTAGGGATGACTGGAAGCCAGAGTCCATATCACCTCTGCAAGCCTGGAGCCTGCCTCAGTTTGGACATAGTGCTACCCGCATCTGCTGCTGGGACAGTCCTCCGATGAATGTGTCCTCAGCACGTGTCCTGCGACAGCCTTTCTCCTGCTGTTCCTCCCCTCCCGGATTCCTGCCATGCTTTAGGCAACTGCTGCATTTCTCCCTTGGGGTGGTCCACCTGTTCGCCTTTGTTCTCCCTGCGCTGGCTGTCCCTCAGAAGAGCCTGCCATGATCAGTGTTTGCCTCGGTCTCCTACCTGTTGATGCTGATGGTGGCAAACTGCTCTCCGATCTCCTCGTCAATGGTCAGGGAGGCTGGGTCCTCATCTCCCAGTTTGTAGACCCACTGAACTTTGCGGTCCTTGAGCACGATGCCCAGGTAATCTCCAGAGGCCTGAATGCAGGGAACAACAGGGCCGCAGATCGGCATTCAAGCCCTCCAGGATGGGCCAGAGCGTCAACTGATGTCCCTGAGGGTCAGGAGCCATTCCCACAGTGGTAGGACATGGGGATGAAGGCTGCACATCCCTTACCCTTGCACCTCTGGTCCTGAGAATAGTGGCAGAGGGAGACTGGGCAAACCCCGCCACCTGCACTGCCCTCCCCATCCCTGCATGCTCCTGCCCTTCTCCTGATGGCGATGCCCAAGCAGCCCTATCTTACCTCTCGGCTGCCCAGGTACAGCACGAACCGCCCCTCTTCAGCCCCATCCTGCTGCTGCTGCCTGCTCTTGGGCTCAGGGTTCTGGATGTAGAATTTGAGGGACGTGTAGGCTGCCAGGTCCTGCAGGTTGCTGGGCATCCGGACCTGCACGCCCGAGCTGCCATTGAACTTCATTGGGACTTTGACCTGGAGGGAGAGAGAGATCCAACCCCATGGGACTGTTACCTCCTCTCCTTCCACTGCCGGCTCTGCCAAGCCTAAGCACTTTCTGGAATTTGTCCATGAGAAAGGGACATTGCCTGGTGGTCCCAGAGCTCCTCTGGACGCCTCTCCCACTTGCATACTGCCCTCACGTTGGCCCTCATCCACCTCAAGCCCCCAACACCCTCCGTCCAGTGCTCTGCACTCCTCACCCTTCCATGAACCCACCTTGCTAGCTGCATTCCTCGCCTGCGTAATGAGCTGCCGGATCCGCACGATGTTCTCTGACACGGTGGCGTTCTTGTTCCTCCTGTTCTCCAGGCTGCTCAGCTTCCCCAGCAGCAGCGGGATGGTGCTTTCCAGGCTGGACACTGGGTTTGGAGAGGAGCCAAGGTTTATGAAGGATAGTGAGAGAGAAAGATGTGAAGCTCGGGCAGTTTTGAGACATGCAAATCAAAGCAGCAGCAGCAGCTGGGAGCAGAGTCGCAGAACCATCCCTTAAACCCAGCAGCCTTGATGGCAGAATACTCCAGGGCATGCAAATCCCTGCAGTAAATGCACAGGTGACATGCACGGCAGGGAGGGGGGAAAAGATAAAGGGGGTAGGTCTGAGGCACCCAATCTTAGCTGCCTCCCTCCCTCTACTCTTGACTTGGAGCTGCAAAAGCACAGCTTCCGAAAGCAAGGTGCTTTCCAAGGGCAGACCTGTCCATGCACTGACTGATGCTGAACTCGGCCCCAGTGAGCCCAGCGGGATCAGCACTCACCAGACTTCCTGGCATCCTGGACTGCCTGGTTCAGGTCTTTGTTTTGAAGGCCTCCGTACTGGTCTTTCCATTCATCCAGGTTCTTCTTCATGGTGTTCAGTGTATCTTCCACTCGTGCAGCTGTTTCGTTGGCCTCAGCTGCTGCCGCTTTGGCATTCTGGATTGTCTCCTTTGTGTCCTCTGCAGGAAAAGCAGAAAAATCTCTGGGATGAACAGGCAAGAGGAGGAAGAGTCCAGCTCATAATTGGAGTTAGCTGCATGACAATCCTTGAGAGGAGACGCAGGCTGAGGGGCTTGCAAGAGTGATGCTGGAAAGGGAGACCTCTGCAAACCTAGGTTTGGGAGCATGTGTGCACATTTACCTAATGTAAAGGGCTCCACATTAAATGAGGATGTGGTCCATCCCTGTCCATCCAAGGACTTCTAGGATGGAAAACGGGTGGGCAGCAGGAGAGCTGTATGCAAGTGCTGCACAGCCTGCCTCCCACGGGAACGCTCACCCCTCTGCCTCACCCACGCTCAAAGCCCAGCCCTGTCCACAGTTCCCCCACCGCAAGAGGGGAGAATGTACATTACAAAGGGATTTATAGGAGATAGGATTTACAGGCCCTTTTATGGGACCATCCTACAAGAGCAGGCGGTGTGGAGCCTCTGGGTCATGGCCTGGGTGCGAGGAAGGAGGCAGGAGCACCTGCCCAGCAGCAGGTGCCCCAGGACAAACCTTGGTCCCTGCCCAGCATGTCCTGTACGGACTGGAGCTGGCTCAGGAGCTGCTCCTTCTTCACGCGGAGGTCGGCCAGTTTGTCCTTTGCTGTCTGCAGAGTGCCTTTAATAGCTGCAATTAAAGAAATGTATAAACACATATGCTGTGTGTTAGGTCCTGGTCGAGCTCAAAGGACATCACACCCTGCTACTTCCACTCTCAGCCACCGCCCTGCCTTCCCTAACAAACCTGTGAACTGCTCTCCCCACCCCAACAGTGACCTGCTGTGATTGCTGCTCTCCTCCCAATCTCCTTGTGTCTATGCAAGGAGCCTCTCTCACCCCCATTGAGTTTTCTCTGCTCTCTCTTCACAGCCTCTTCAAGGTTGCTGCTGTTCTTCTTCAGTTCTTTAGAGATGGCCCCAAGGTTTTCTGACATGACGTTCTGTAAAACAAACATGCACTGCCTGGGACCCAGCCTGAGAGTCTGGACAAAGAAAACAAGTCCCTGGTCCTCAGGGTGTGCTGCTGGGCTGTGACAGGTAGAGGTAAACAGAACTGGACTAAGGGACACCAAAACCCAGGAGTCTGGCCCTAGCCTCAGCCAGGCCTAGAGAGTTGCTGTTCTGCAGCACAGAGCAAAGTGCTGAAACCCTAGAGGGAAGGGGCAGGTGGAGCCCAATATGCTGGTGTGAAAAGCTACGGTGCTGTCAAGGGGGCAAAGCGGGGCTGGATTTTGCTCATCCACACAGGGCTCCCTGCAGCACGTACCATCAAAGCCTCACCGGCCGCCTCGTCGGCATCGTGGGCCGCTCGCTCGGCTTTTTTCACAGCTTCGATGATGCTGGCGTAGGCATTGGAGGCGTCAATCGCTCGCTGGATAAAGCCATCCTGGTTTGTGCCCTGGATAATGCTGTGTTTGAAGATGAAGCAGTCAAGTCCTCTCCGACAGCTCAGGATGGGCTCCTGCCCTTTCCTCCCACGGAGAGACCCCTTTGGGGTCCTCATTGCAATGCGTGCTCTGTACTAAAGCCCTGGAAACTGCACCCCCTGCTCCCCTGTCGTGGCTGGGGGGGCAGCACCCCCCCCCCCCACGATGACACAGGGCCACGTGTACATCTCCTTTGAGAGCCAGGGCACATCTCGGGGAAGGAAAGTGCTGTCTCCCTGTTACTGGTGCTGGTCTAGAGCAGTCAAAATATAGTCCCATCAAAGAGGTTGACTGATCATAGCACAAGCGTTACACCTCCCCAGCACTGGCTGCCTCTGCTTTCTACAGCGCTGAGTGATGGGATGGAGAGCTTGGCCGTGAGCTGTGTGCGGGGCCAGCTCCGTGGACGTAGCTGTGGCTGGGATTGAGCTCTCTGTCCCAAGCAAGAGAGGGCAGAGTGATAGCTCAGAGGTTACCAACTGAGTGGCAGGGAGCCAGGCGGGTGCATTACCTGGACAGGTTCCTCGCGAGCTCGTCCAAGAGCTGGGCATGCTCCTCAGCCTGCTCCACAATTGGGATCTTGCTGCTGGCCGGGGAGAACTTCTTTACCCGCTCTGTCAAGGGCAGCTTAGCCCCATCCAGCAGGGCTGCCAACTTCTCGTACTCCTGCAAGGAAGCACGTCGTTCCTGAGGGCCGCTCGCCACCTCCCCAGTGTTGCACCAGGGAGGTATGGACGCTCGTGTGGGGCTGGTCGCCTGGTTCGGTGGTGCCAGAGCTGCTCTGTGCTCCTCTCCTCTCCTTCGCCCACCCCGGTGCAGAGCCAAGTGGCCCCGCCATGCTCTTTGGCCAGGCTGAAGCGCCTCCATCCCTCACCTCCTTTGCGCTATCCATCTTCTGCAGGAACTTGGAGACCTGTGCCAGAGAGTCCTTGGCCATCCGCAGGGTGTCCTGCACCACTCTGTACTGTTTTTGGAGTTCCCGGCTCTTTTGCTAGACAAACAGATGCAAAGTTAGGAGCCGGAGATGCTACGACAGGCCCACCCTTACGGCATGGCTGTACACGTTCATCCAGGGAAGGAAGGTCTACCTGACTCTCCTCCAGGTTGTTGCGATTCAGGCCGTTCAAGTCCTCCGTCTGCCTCGTTTTATTTACAGCCTCGTTGAGGGCGTCACGGAGGTCCATCAGCTCAGAGCTGTGCTGAGCCAGCCGCTCTCGGATGCTGTTCACCAGGTCCTGGTTAGCCTCCCAGCGGGAGTACAGCTCGTTCTTCACGCGATGCAGCACTGAGGACAGAGAAGGCAAGACCCATTTCTAACCTGTTCTCCTGTGTTAAAGGACTCTTTCTGTGTATGTGCTGTGGAAAAGTCTGATTCTGGTCTCACTTTGCAGATACTGAGTCCAGAAGAGACCATCCTCCCTCCCTCCCTCAGCCTGCACAACACAAGATCTTATCCAGCACTGTCTCCAAACCCACAACGTTAGTTTAAGGGACAGCATCTCTTTCAGAAAGACACCAGCCATGACTTAAAGACCCCAAATGACGGACAACAACTAGCTAAGGTTGGTTCTAGTGCTTCGTTACTGTTGAAAAAAATACTGCTTATTTCTAGCGAGAGCCAATTTATAATTCTAGCTTTTAGCTGCTGGATTTCCTTGTCCCTGCAGTGCCTGGTGCACCCTGCTAAGCAGCAGAGTTTGCCTGGGAGCAGAATCTGACCCCTCGCTTCCTGCAAGAGATGCCCTCATGTTTGCAGACCTGGCATCCAAGCTGGCAGGGTAGCAGGCTCTCTGCTTTTATTCTGAACAACTCTACTGGGCAGTGAACACAAGGAAACACGAGGGTATTTATTTGCATCCACACACAATAACAGTAACTCCTACTTCTAAGTGTTGTCATTTTCATTTTTCATCATCAAACAGAACTACCCAGTTACTACAATCAAAAGTCAACAAAGAAAAAAATCCCAGAGCTAGACTCACGCTTCTGAGCCTCTTCATACTCGTGCCTTGCCAGCGCCTCATGGCTGCCAAAACTCCGCTCCTTCATCTCCTTCAGCATCCTCTCCACCTCGGCCATCTTCTGCCGGAACTCCTCGGTGGAGGTGGTGCTGGTGTTTGCTGTCCCAAACTTGGCCATCTCCTGTACCAGGTCTGCAGGGAAATCCAGGTCCCCCATTAGCATCGACTGAGCCTTCGCAACCCACCTCAGCTCTTTCCTGTCTCTCCCTCAACAAACCACAGCTAGCTTTCAGGGCAGTAGCCAGGCACCTCCTGAATTGCTCAAGATTACTCAGGAGTATTGCCACGCTTCTGTTCCCTTTGCCGTTACCATAACACATGCTACCTCCCAAGCGTCTTTTTGTGGATTTCTCCTAGATCCAGTCACTCTCTGTTTTGCTAAATCTCTCCTGGAACAGTAAGGCAGATGGCCTCCGTTTTCTGCATTTTAACAAATATTCATGCAAGTTTAACACGTTTCTCCAAAGATGGTACTCAGCCAAACAGCTGGGATTCACAACAACCCTGGTCTGCTTAAATAGCCAGAAGCTCGTGGGAATCTCCATTACGTTTGTATTTCCCTTTCCTTTTTCCAAGGGCCGCAGTACTCAGTGCTGCTTGCAAAGTGAGAGCCTGGCATTCCCAGCAGGAAAAAACCCACAGAGCAGAGAGACTTCTTCAGCACCTACCTGCAATGCTTTTCTGGATGCTTTGGATATTTAGCAGGAGCTGCTCCCCCCTCTGGTAAGTCTCTCTTGTGTGCTGCTCTAAATGGTTTGCTTCTCTTTGAGTCATTGTCATCTACAACACAGAATCCTGGTTTAACTGAAGCATGAGATTGTGTTTTACATGAGCTGTCAGACAGGGAGCGATGTACCCGAAAGTCACGCTAGGTTTGGGAAGGTGCTGCTCCTGAGCTCCGTGAACCAAGAGAGTCATGTCTCCTGCAACAGCCTGCCCTGTGCTGCTCTCCTACGATGCCTTTAGCGATGATTTTTTTTTCCACGGGCACAACGCACAAGTGAGACATCCAGCTCCCAGTGCACCAGGCTGTGGCTCCTGAAATGGTCCTAGGAGCACAGTGGACAGCACTGTCCCTTGCTGTAATATAGTGCAAAGCTCCAAAGCTTGGGACCAGACAGACCCGGGTCCAGACCAGAAGAGAGGGGTCTGGGTTTGCCCGTTCAGAGCTCGTGCACTCATACACACAGAGGTGGGCATTTGTCTGTGCAGCTGCCCAAGGGACGTATGTCATCCAGCAGAAAGTTTTGCCTCTCCCTTAGATTAAGACCAAGGCCTCAAATCCTGCTTTATAATTTATCTGAAGACACAACTGGTTTTTTTTTATACTATGAAGACTGACCCTTGCAAAACGTGTTCTCGTACTGAGGCCTCCAAGCACTACTGCAACAAAAAGGGTCAGTTCTTTGGCTGAGAGGGCCAGGGCTCTGCCTGCTGCAGCCTGGGTACACCTAGGACAGACCCAGCCACCCGCATGCCTTCCTTGTTTGCTCTTTTTATTGAATTTATTTCTACCGGTTAAAGTTGGAGCTGTCTCAAAAGCAAGTAATAAATCAAGAAACGACCACAAGTATGGCAAGAAGTTTAGCAGCCCTCCAAGGGAGCAATCCAGATAATCTAGTTCGGACACCGGAGTACGAGGCCCTGACACCCACAGCTCAGCGCTGGGCTGGGCAGGTGGTCCAGCCTGTCCGAACTAGGCTCCCCACGGCCTTCAAAGCCCTCATTTTCGGTGAAAGGAGGGATTTGTACTCTGGCAAGGGGAGGAAGATGGGGAAACACCCTACTTTGTGCTGCAGCGCGTTCAGGTCCTGCGTGAGGTCCACGTTCTCGTCCTCCAGCTCGTCCGCCCTTTGCCTGACCTTGCTTAGGGCTCGCTGGTACTCGCGCAAGTGGTTCTGCAAGAGAGCGCAGAAATCAGGCAGACAGGCCGGGAAAAGCGAGCAGAAAGCGGCGTTAAGGCCTTCCACGTACAGCGATGGTGGCCATAGTGCTGTTGAGACTGTGGAGGCGAGCCCAGGCGATGGAGCTGGCGTTCAGGTTAACCAGCTGGCCCCGAATCGAGGGGAAGGACGTCTCGATGCTCTGCAGATCTTCCAGCAGGAGCAGGACACAGCTGTCGCACACTGCCGAGGGAAAGGAGCAGTGAGCAGAGCGCCCTTTCCCTGGGCGCCTTCCCCTTGCCTGCCGGAGGGACACGGCCTCCTTTTCCAGCCAGGCCATCCCAATCCTACTACCAAAAAAGCTACCACGTTTGGGAAGGGAGAGGGGAGGAGAGGTCACGCAGCACGATACAGACCTTCGCACCTCACGCTGTCCGGGCCGTTTGCCACGGGGACCTCGTGCTTCTGCAGGCAGACGTCGCACTGCTTCCCGGCCAGGCCGTTGGGGCAGGTGCACTCGCCCGTGCGCGGGTCGCAGGAGCCGCCTTTGCACTCGCACCCTGCCAACGAGAGAGGGGAGGCTGGAGCGGCCCATCAGTTCAATCTTTTCTTTGACGCCTACAGGTTAATAAGAGGGAAACAGCCGTGGCATCGTGTGTGCTGCTGCCATGCTGGGAGGGAGGGAAGGGGTGGTTTTATTCCAGATGTGCAACTGCATCCCTGCTCATCTACACCCCTCCTGCTGGGGGTTTCAACCCAGCAACAGGCACAGGGTCTTGGATAACAGGCGGCTGGTTTTCCTCTTCGGCAAGTCAACGAGCGCCACCAAA